AAAAAAAAAAAAGAAAAAAGAAAAAGACTTCGCGATTGGAGGTTTCCATGGGGCCTAAGAAGCCCAGGACCAGAGAGGGGACCCTTCTGCCCCGTCCTCATCTTCTTCCCCATCACTCTGAGCCCTGCGAGCCTTTTCTTTGAGCTGAATCTTCCCTCTCCCTTTTCAGGGACCCTAATGACCCGCGCGATGCCAAGGCCCCTCAGTGGCCCCCATACACGACGGGAGCGCAACAGTACGTGAGCCTCAACCTGCGACCACTGGAGATTCGGAGAGGACTGCGGGCTCAGGCCTGCGCCTTCTGGAACCGATTCCTGCCCAAATTGCTCAGTGCCACCGGTATGCGGGAGCCAGCAGGAGGGGAGGGAGTGGAGAAAAGGGCATACAGGGCTGGGGATATCGCTCAGTGCACAGCGCCTGCCTAGCAAGCACGAGGTCATGAGTTCGATTCCCACCACCAGAGGCGGGGCGGGTGCAGGAGGAGGGGAGCAGGAGCCGGCAGGGTGTAACCCCTCTCTTCTCCCTCCAGCCTCCGAGGCTCCCAGCACCTGCCCAGGCCCCGCCCATGGGGAGGCTGCCCCGAGGCCCAGGCCTGGCCTACCTCTGCCCCCCCTTCTCCTCCTCCTCTTTCTGCGGCTTTGACCAGGGCCTCTTCCCCTTGGCCACAGGGGTCCCCTCCTCTAAAGCATGTCCAGACTGTGGGGAAGGACCCCTCTTAGGAACCCAGCGGCCCTTCCTTACACACAAAGTGGACAGGCCTCAGAGACCTACTTGCCTTTGTTTAAGTGGAAATGAAAAGCCAATTCAAATTTTTTTATTTTTATAAAATTATCCTTTGGAGCCCGAGCCTGATGTTGGGGAGAAAGGGAGGACCTGGGGCTGGACTGTACCACACTGTGGGCTACAACTGTCAACCATTTCTGTCTCTTTTTCTCCCCGCCAACCCACGTCCTTCTGATTCCATCCGTCTCCATCTTCCGGTCATTTTCTCTTGGCTGCTTCCTGCCATCCTTCTCCGGACCTGCCCGTCCTGCCCCTCACCCTCCTTCTCTCTGCTGTCTCGCCTTTCCTGGCCCTTGTTCCACCATCCCACGTGGCCCCTCCACCCGCCCCTGTGTGTCGCCCCTGCTTGTCCTCCATGCCGCCGCCTCCTGCCGGGCGCCCGCCACAGACACGCTGGACGAGGCGGAGCGCCAGTGGAAGGCCGAGTTCCACCGCTGGAGCTCCTACATGGTGCACTGGAAGAACCAGTTCGACCATTACAGCAAGCAGGATCGCTGCTCAGACCTGTGACCCCGGCGGGACCCTACGTCCTCAGGCTCCGCCCCCAGCTGTATATACTATTTATTAAAGGGCGGGGGATATAACAAAGTCCCAGACCTTGCCCGCCCGACCCCGACTTCCCCCCGGGGCTCCTCGTCCTCTGCATGTCTCGGGCCGAGCTCCCTCCCCCGCGGTGCCTTCGCCCCTCTGGGCTGCCAATAAACTGTTACAGCTACCAGAGTGTGCGCGACTGGGAACGGGCGGAGCGCCAGGATCGCTGGACAGAGGCAGTGCAGGTCTAGGGGCTAGCTGCAGGCAGTACAGACTGGCGAAGCACTAAGGCACCCGGGCGCCTGCGCGCGAGCCACCAGACTAAGTTCCGCCCTCTGGGGTGGAGCCTGCGCAGTGAAGCAAACGGGCAGGTGCAGCGGTGCATTGTGGGAGTTCAGTGGTTGGCGTCTCGTCGAGGAGCTTGAACTCCGCAGCGCTCTTTTCTGATCCCCGGGGAAAGTACTACGACCTTGCACACCCCACCCACCCTCAGCTGGCCCAAGACCCGGGTTCGAGAAGAAGCGCTGGTGTTGGCACCGCCTGCCGCCCTGGAGCTGCTGCAGGACGTTCACCTGGGCCTGGCCCCACCACGCCAGGGCCCTGCCCGCCTGGCCGTCCTCTCAGGCCACTACCTCTACTATCACTATGGCTGCGACGGGCTGGACGACCGCGGCTGGGGCTGCGGTTACCGCACCCTGCAGACGTTGTGCTCTTGGCCGCAGGGCCAGACCATGGGCGTGCCTGGACTGGACGCCGTGCAAGCGGCCTTGGAGGATATAGGCGACAAGGCCCCCGGGTTCCGGGGCTCCCGGAGTTGGATCGGCTGTGTAGAGGCCAGTCTCTGCCTCGCGCACTTTGGAGGGCCCCAGGGCCGCCTGTGCCACATACCCCGTGGAGTGGGGCTTCGCAGCGAGCTGGAGAGGCTTTACTCCCACTTTGCAGGGGGGGGTGGCCCTGTGATGGTGGGAGGGGATGCTGATGCCAAGGCCAAGGCCCTGCTGGGTGTCTGCCTGGGGCCACGTACGGAAGCCTACGTTCTGATACTGGATCCTCACTACTGGGGCACTCCGAAGAACCCTAGAGAGCTACAGGCTGACGGGTGGGTGGGCTGGCAAGAGGTGAGCAGCGCCTTTGATCCCTGCTCCTTTTACAACCTGTGCTTGACCAGCTGTAACTCTGAAAAGCAGCAGCACTCCCAGAACTGAAACTGACTTCACCCCTGTGAACCCTTTACTTATCAAGTGTCCCAGCAGAACAGATGGAACTTCAGCATCAATAAAATGGTGACAAACGGGGCATGGTGGGGTATGCCAGTAATCCTAACACTCGGGAGGCTAAGGAAGGAGGATCCTTTCAAGTTCAAGACCAGCCTGGCCTGCAAAGTCAGCTTAAAGGGGGCCGGGGAAGATAGCTCAGTGGAATAAGTGCTTCCCTGGCAAGCGCAAGGGCCTAAATTCAATCCCTGGTTCCACCAAAAAAAGTGAGCTAAAGCCAGCCCGAACTATAGTGAGACCCTGGATCAAAAAGACAAAAATTAAAGTAACAGGGCCCAGCCAACCATGGCCCCACCTGACGTTTACGAAGATGTGAGAAGGTATACAACACACCCAACATAATAGGGAGATAACTCGGCCATCTAAGTGCCTGCCTGGCAAGCACAAGGACCTGGGTTCAATCCCTAGTACCTCATGCCATGCCAGCCCCTTGCTGAGCAGACCACCAAAATCGGCACTGCGGCACACACCTGTGATCCCAGCCCTGGGAAGGCTGGGACAGGAGTCCAGGTTGTGTAGCTGGACCCTGTACCAAATAAACTTTTTAAAAAATTTAAAAAGTCATTACTTTAGTGCTTTTATTGGCAGTAAGCTGAACGTACAAAAAAATTCTCAGCTGAAGAGACAAGGCAGGCAGAAGTAGAGTAGGGTAAAGTGGACAGCTCAAAAGAAATCCACATCATCTGGGGCATCCAGGTCACGATACTCCACAATGGCCCTTGGGTCTCCACGAACCATCCTGTGAGAGAAAAAGCAATTGGCACCCAAGGAGCCTGTGTGAAGGAGGCAAGGGGCTTGGACATCTCACCCCATTCTCACCTGCTGCGTGGTTTCCCAGGGTAACCACCCTGACCTCGAAAAGCATCATAGTTCCCTCTGCCAGCACCATACGGGGCATGGGGATATGGAGGGCCTCCTGTGGGGACTGCAGGGCGCACAGCACCAGCTATGAAAAAGATCAGGGTTCAGCCTGTTTCCCTCTAGCACCAAACATAATCAGCCCTTTCAGACCCCTCCCATACTTACCTCCATAGCCCAAAATGGGAGGCCGGGGCTGGCCATAGGGCATCAGACCCTGGGGAGTTTGGTGTGGGTAGGGGAGTCCCGGGGTCAGACCTGGGGGGAGTACAACACAGACAGGAACATGAATTACTGCGGGGGGGGGACAACACACAAATAACTTCTAAAGAATATGGCCTCAGTTATGTGGTAGAAATGTTATAAATTTTTAAGATGACAGATTAAAGAATCTCAATACAGGCAAAGGAGAAATGCACCAGACCCTCGTGGATCGTATCTTACTCTGGGCAGGGCCAGGGGGCTGGGCTGGCTTGATCTCAGGCAGAGCTGGGCGTTTGGCATCTGTGAGGAAGTTGTTAAAGAAAGCCACTTCCTTCTTTACCTCCTCAATCTTCTCTGCATGTTTGTTGAAGATGTGTTTGCGTACAAACTCAGGACCCTGGGTGGAGAGGAAAGGATTAGGACGGAGCAGCAGGTAATGTGGGCTCTCTCTCCCATTCCCATGGTGAACCTGGAAAGTGGACAGCTTCCCTCCTGCCAAACCCCTGAGCATCTTCCCCCCAGGCCTTTAGGTAGATGACGTCAGGTCCCAACCCTTTCTCCCACCATTCCAACAGGCTAATTCTCTAACATCCCAGACCTTGAATTTCTTGCCACTGAGAGGACATAGCCACTTATCCTTGCCCAGTTCCTGGGTGTTAGAGGTGACAAATTTTTCCACTTCTTGCTCAGGATCTTTTCGGCCCATCTTCTGGGCCTCTTCCTCAGAGAGGGATTCCCGCACACTCAGCAGGGGAGTCAGCTTCTCCTCGAAGGTCTTCTGCCACTCTAACACTGTGGTGGGAAGCAGACAAGCGAAAGCTGAAAAAGTATGCAGGAGCAAGGGGCAGGAGGGGCAGGAAAAGGTGGCAGAGTACTGCCAACAGGTGACCAGCAGCAGCTGGGAAGAGGAAACAAAATGGAAGGGGACTCAGGAACAGGGAACCTGGGGGCACCTTCTCCATGACTGATGCGGTTGGGAGGCATGGGCCCCCGAACATGGATGATGCCGCATCGATTTGGCATCTCATCCTCATTGGGGTACTCGCAAGTGTTGTAATAATCCAGAGAATGCACGATGCGCAGATAGAGGAGGAGCTTGTCCAAAACCTAAAGAGACAAAAGCCACTGGGTCTCCAATCTGGCCCCGTTTGTATCTATGTCTCTCCAAGTCTCAGATGCATGTAGGTGGGCTTTGATTAGATCAGTGGATGAAATTCTCAGGGATTAGACGATGCTGAGTTTATGACTCAATGAGATTCAGGGGGCAAAGCCTGGTGGAAGGAGGGTCACTGGGAATGGGAATGGGAAGGTGTTATCACCTCCTCCCCCCTTCCCTTGATCTCTCTGCCTGTGTGCATCTCTGTCCTTCCGGTAACCATATCATAAGTTCATCACTCTTCTTCCTATGACATGCTGTCCTGCCTTGGAGTCAGTTGACTTTGAACTGAAACCTCTACAAACCGTGAATCAAAGTATTTTCTCCTTAGAATTGTGGATATCAAGTACTGTGTCTTAGCTACAAGAAAGTAACTAAGGTCAGATGTGTGACACATGCCTATAACCCTAGCATTTGGGAAGCTGAGATAGGAGTATTGCCTCAGATTCAAGGCCAGCCTGAACTACCTAGGGAGACCTTGTCCCAAGAGAAAAAAAGGTAAGCCATTCTTTCACCCTGAAAGCCACAAACCCCTGCCCCCTGTGAGGCTACAGCTGGCACCTTGATCAGCTTCTCATCCCGTTCCACATTGATCTCTGCTGGGTTCCCTTCCTTCGGAGGCTCCTCAGGGGGAGCCCCCCCACTGCTCCCCAACAGCTCCTCCTCCTCAGCACTCACTTCCTCTATCAGGTAGTCGGTGATGTTCTTCAGGATTGGGTTCTGTGAGGGTAAACTCTGCTGGAGGGAAGAAGGGGAAAAAGAGAGAAGTACCCTCAGGGCAGGAAGGAACCTGTAAACCTGCACAAGGGAAGGCAGGGGAGAGTGAGCTCACTTGATAGAACTGTCAGCTCTGCTGTCCCTTGTACTTGCCCCACCCTAGCCCAATTCTGGTGGAAGATGGAGGTAGTATACCCAGAGAAGGACAAGCAAGTGAGGGTGTGCACAAGGGGGCACTGACTGCCAAAGAGCAAGTGAGGACATGGGCATAAGGAGTAAAGGAGATAGTGTCAGCGGCTTTGGAAATGGTCCCCTAGGGAGTCACTGACTGTTGGCAGAGGAGGTGTCCCTGGCTCAGAGGCCCAGAGCTGGGTCCTGTCATCTAGCGTGTGGATCAGCTTCGCTGCCAGCTTGATGTCATTGCGCACTATCTGCTTGTGCTGGGTAATGCCATTGATGTTGCGTACACGCCGGGTCAGATCTCTGTTCACACCGGGGCTCAGCTCACATTCACGGAGCTGAAAGAAGATGAAATAAAAAAACTGACCAAGCTGGCTACAGTGGCGCACACCTGTTATGTCAGCACTCAGAAAGCCGATGCAGGACTGGAGCAAATTTGAGGCCAGCCTGGGATACATAGAGAGTTTAAGGCCAGCTTGCACTACAAAGCTAGACCATCTCAAAAAATCAAAAGGGAAAGGGAAGGGAGGGGAGGGGAGAGGATAAAAAAGGAAAAGAGAAGAAAAGAAGCTGACTAACAACTTCAGCAAGTGCCCCAGAAACAGGAGCTCACAGACTGAGAACACCAGAGACTGTTGGGACCAAGAGCTCCCTAAGGACAAGGACCAAAGAGGTCTGTCCTGACAGACAGGACCAGGCAATTAACATGAGCAGAGTGAATGGATGAAAGTGGGTAGAACAAAGGGACAAGGGAGTCAGAAGTCACAGGGGGAATACAGAGAGCCATGCTCTCTCTTCTTGAAACACTCACTCGGATATTCTGCAGGTTCCAGCAGATCTCTTTAATGTTAACACTGCGGTCAAAGGTCACCCAGCCACGACGGAAAAACCTACATGAGAAAAAACATCACCGTTTCTGAATGGAGATGGTGTGGGCCATTAACCAATTCCCTGTACTCAGATATCCAGTTCCTCACCTCCTCTCAGGCTGTGGCTCCGACAGTGCCACACGCATAAAACCTGGGTATCTTTTACAAAGCTGCAAGAAGCAGGGAGAACACAAACCCCGTTTAGTAATTCAAGGAATCCCTTCCTTCTCCAATCCACCAGAGCACTTCACTTTAACCCTATCCGTGGGCAAGGAGAAACAAAGGGCTTAAACAGCTGAGCACTTGACAGGGTGCAAGGAGTCCTTGAAAACAAGGGGCCCACGGGAAAGGAGCTCCATACATAGCATACAGAACCAGAATGCTACTTCTCTCCACACCCCCCTCTGCGTCCCACCCCAAAGGATCTGTACCTAGTGCCAGGCTGGCTGCCCAATACCAACTTTCCCACTCACAGAGATGATCTCAGCCCGGGAGATGTTGGGTGCAATGTTGCGCATGAAGAGGGAGCAAGTCTTATGCAGGGGCCGGGGCTTACACTCCAGCCCTGCAGCATCCTTAGGCTTCTCCCTTTCCTCTTCCTTGGGCTTCTCCTTTTCTTTTTGTGCTTCTTCTACGCAAAGTGGCAGAAGTTGGTGAGGTTTTATTAATAATTTCGGTGGCACAGACAAAACGGCTGTTACTGACCAAGCCAATGTCATCTCCCCACAAGCACCAATCCCTCCCCTCCCCTCCCTCCTGTGCAGCCTACCAGTCTCTTCTTTGTCCTCCTCAGCTTGGCCACTCTCAGACTCAGACTCGGACTCAGACACACTGCCCTCATCGAAGCTGTCGTCACCACTGTGCTTCCTGTTTCTCTTCTTGCTGCTCTGTGGGAAGCACACACAATGGAGGGACTCACTCATGTAACCCCAGTGCCTGACCGCTGGCCCCACACAAGCGACCCTTACCTTTTTAGCTTCCTTTTCTGAGTCTTCTTTCTTTTCTTCCTTGTCCCCGTCACCCTCAGTTTTCTTGGTTTTGTCATCGTTAGAGCTATCATTTTCTGCCTACAGGTGGAGAAGATCACTGGGGATGTCTCATGTACTCCAGCTTTACTAGAGCGCCCCCTCCATACCTAGGCCCCAAGTTTTACCTCCCCTACCCCACCCCACATGCAGCCTTTTAGCTCCAGCTCCTTTGGGCCCCACCAGTCCCAACCTGCTTGCCATCTTCTTTCTTGTCATCCTTATCACCAGCCTTGCGCTCTCCATCACCTAGGCTTGCTCCGGCCCGGCCTTCCTCTTTCTTACTGGGCTCCCCAGGCTTTCCGGCCTGTTCCTCCTCCTCCTCCTGC